TCATGAGTTCCTGTCAGTTACATTTTCACATGTCCCCAAATCCAGTTAAATAGATGCTTCAAGGATTTGGGGCTCACAGATGTGCTTTTATGTTTTCTGTGCTTATTAGAATGATTTTTAAAAATATCAACCTTCCTCTTTTTCTTATTAAGTACAATAATTTAATTCTACTTTCTGCTGAAAGCCCAAAGGCATTGTGTTGCATACATGAACATTTCCATAGCCAAAAGTTGATCAAAATTTATTGTAGAATGGGCTATGTGCAGATATCAAGATATCAGTCTCAAGGTTTTTTTCCAAGTAATTTCTTCTACATCTGTACAGACATATTTTATGTTTATATGTGGAAGTTTATTTAAGAGTTTGAAAAATGAATTTATCTTCTAAATTCAAAATATGTCCAGAGTTTCCACTTTTCACTGGGGAAGCATCTATTACCAAGGATGTGTAAAAAATATGACAAAGAACTATTGTTGGCTGCCATGAGCCATTTGTAGAGCGCAGAATAGTCCCACTGGATAGAAACAGATTAACAATGGTATTTGTTAGAAGAGTTCTGTCTGAATAACAATTGCATACGTTCATAAGACTGTCAGCCTGATGTTTTTGCTGCTGTAATGTTGAAAACTGCAAAATTAAAGTTGCGAGGTGAGAGTTTTGTGACTCCTGGTGGCAACTGGGGTATGTGAGTTTCAGCAGCGAGATTACAGAAAGGGAGTTTATAAGAATACAGCAAGAACTTGGAAATCGAGAAATGTTGCAAAGTAATTTTGAGGGAAAGGATGAACAACATAAAAAAAAATTTCAAAAGAGTTCTTTTAAGAAATAGTTTGAAAAATCTGAGAAGGAAAAGACTAATTTTGGGAGTTTTAGGAGAACTAATGGCTGAATGTAGGGATGCGCTAGTAGATGCAGATGAAAGGTATAAGGTGTACCATGAAGAGGGAAAACATTAAAATTTTAGAACCTGAATTTGGCCCTTCCTGGATGTCATTAGGTCACTGCATGGCTTTAGGGGAGGAAGCAAAATGAGTTCTGTGGAAATAGATAACAACACCCAATGTGTTGACAGATGACCGACCTGGCTCCCAGGCTCCCCTGACCAACATTTCTCTAATTATTCTCAGTGGGGCAAAATGACCACCACCTGCAGGCTGAGTTCTGCTCCAACTCTGTGACAGCCTTGATCTCCAAGCAGGTCCCTTTGATCCACATCTTGATAGCTCAAATATCCTATCTTTCTGTTCAGGTCATCTGTGATAAATCTTTTAATTCAGTCTCAGCAGAAGACACTCGCCTTGCTCTATGAGAGTGGAACTTCTATCCAGTGTCTGAAATGCAGGAAATGGGTCCATGGCATTGTTTCATTCCTCCAGGACTGGAGGCTGCCTGTCGTCCTCTTGGGCCACAGAGTCTGTGGTCAGGTCTGCAGGCGCCCCATTCCCTAACTTCTGTGATACGAACTCTCTCTGGGAACCACCATGCTAGGGCTACTTTGCCTACAATGACACTCTCTTGACCCTGTGATCTGTTCTGTTCATCTACCAAGGATTCACTTAATAACTGATGTCTTATTTTCAATGCCCAGTATCCATTTACTAACACTTACCTCCTTTTATCTTGTCTGCTTCTGAGATTTGCCCCAACTGACTATCTTACCAAGAATAATTCTAATGTTGACTAGGAAGAGATTCAGGAGGAGGGGTACCACTTCAAGTGTTTTGACTCTAAAAGTTAGAGATTGAATGTTTGCCTGGAGCCCAGCAAAAGGAACACTGTGCTATAAGCAGAGACCTCAGGAGAAAGATGTTCTTAGACGAGAGCAGCAGATGCTACCCAGGCTAATTCCCAATGGCTGCCAAAGAGATGATGCTTAATTCCTGTTTAGTTCAATCTAACTGAATAAGCTGGAAATGAGGAAATGAAGAAGGAGAAGGCTATGGCGTTTGTAAAGTATAGGCTGAAATAATACTTAGCTTTTTTCAAATCTCTCTCATGTATGTACATCATCTCACCTGATCCTTACAAACATCCTTGGTGTTAGGTAGGTCAAGAATGACCATTTATATTTTGCAGGTGAGAAAATTGAACTTAAGGGGGTTTAAGTTTTCTCAAGACCACAGAGAGGGTAGGAATTGGCACAGCTGAGAAAGGGCTCCAAACTGTAAAGTCAGTGCCTCTCTATGGCACATTTTTTCACTAAATGTTTAAAAAGTGTAAATAAAATGGAGCAAGCCAAAAATGGATAATGTTTCTTCAGAGGGAATACTTCTTTCTATGTTAAAAATAACTCATGCCAATTATTTAGATTCATTTCTAATTATTTAAAATAATTTTATGTTATTTTACTTTTTTTTTTCAGATTGATATGTGGGTACAAATGTTTAGGTTACGTTGTTTCCATTTGTGAGGTAAAGTTCAAGTTGTAGGTGAGCCCTTCACCCAGGGGGGCATGGTGAACACCCTCACATTGTGTACATTAGGTGAGATCCCACCAGTCACCTTCCTGTAAATTTTTCACACTTTATACAAGTGTTGATGAAAATACCGACTCTCTTAAATACTCAAACTTTAATTGGGCTGGAACTGTTTTTCACACCAGTAATATGTAGCTTCCGGTTACAAGTCAAGAAGGTCAAGTATGGCAGAAGTAACAGAAATTAGGATCATCTGCTACAGGTAGGATGTTGGGCTTTGAGACATTCATCTCCATGACAAAACAGCCAAATCAATGGTATTTGAAAGGAACAGTAGTAAGGTGGCTGCATGAGACAGATCACCAACCAACAACCTAGTCAGTATCACAAACTAATGGAGGGGCCCACAGGGAAACCCTGGTCTGAAGGGGTCCTCGTTGAATCTTGAGTCCTAACTTTGTATTTAAGAAGACTCAGGACTGCCCGAGATTCCCTGATATGTGGGTTTCTTTCAAAGAGAAATAGGAGTTTTGTTTTGGGGGGGGGGTTCCCAATAGAAGCTATTCTTTGACTTGGAAAAAAGCTGGCTAGTTTGATTTTTCTCACCCTTTGAAATCCTCCTCTGCACCTGAACGTGACACTGTGTGATATGTCGCAGATACATTTCTCATCATGCAGTGTCAATAGAGAGGTTTTTCTAAAAATACAAACATGTGGACCAGGGCCTTCTAGAAAGCTACAGGTTTTGGTATAAGGGAAAGAATTTAAACTAAATATTCGTGAATTTAAATACAGCTTTGGACTTCACTACTTTCTTGTTTATACTCGATAATACCATAGCTTATTCTCAGCATTCCAGATACACTGAAGAATGTGCTGATGAACCACATTTTCTGCCTGAGTTTCTTTCCTCACTGACATCCTCTCCTATCTCTTACCTGTCATCCTTGTGGGTATTTTAATGGCTACTTTTCACTGTAGGCATCTTTTCCTTATCACTACAAGCATAGTTTTCATATTATTTAAAACGTGGCATTTTTTAAAATAACCTATATAGTTTGCAGTATGGCAATTCAAAAATCATTATTCTTTTTGTTGTTGTTGTTGTTGCAGTTTTGGGCTGAGGCTGGGTTTGAACCCGCCACCTCTGGTATATGGGGCCGGCACCCTACTCCTTGAGCCACAGGCACCGCCCCTCAAAAACCATTATTTGAGAGCTTGCTGTGTGTAGAAAATATAGTAAGCAAGGATGACGTGGCTGGAGATGGGAACTCTTGTCTTTGATTTAGGAACAAAACCATCTGCAGTCAATGAAATCAAAGAACTGTGGGTCGAGTACGGAGAGTGCAGAGAGGGCGATGCCTTTACTCTGAGTGTCTAAGGAACAGCTTCCTGGAGAGGGACATTTTGGGATTTAGAGAATGAGAGGGACAAAACAATAGGAGAAGGGTATTGTTCACCTACGGAAGAAAGAATGAGCGACACAAGAGAAGGCGTTGGTCAGCTGGAACACCTCAAACGCTCTAGTGTGAAGACTGAGTATCACAGGGAGGGTAAAGGACCAGGGTAACGGAGCCAGAATGCCGGGCCTTCCACACCAAAGGAAGGAAGCTCAAGTTTATTTTGTCAGCAAAAGGGAAACACTGAACTGTTTTATGGGCAGGAGCAGCATCTTATGATCTGAAGTATAAAAGCGAATTCCAGTTGTGATAGAAAATAATTTTTAAATATGTTTTCAAATAATTATTTTTCAAATAACCTCTAAAAAATATTGGTGATTAAGCAGTGAGGTTGTGCAGTTAAAGGGGGTTGTGATTCTGTTCAAAGTTGCAAACGCAAACGGACTCCATAGATGTGGCAAAATGATGACACAGGTGTTGGAAAGAAAAAAGTGGTGATGGGTGATTGCTACCAAGATGGTAGGTATAACTAAGAGGAGAAACGCTCCTTACGGTCTCGGGAAGAACCGTTAGCCTATTCCCAGAAGTCAGTGAAAAGAGATGGGGAATCTTCGATCTGGAAAAGTTAGAAGAATGAAGAGATTTTGATTGGGTTTATAAAAAAGAATGGCTTGCTAAGCAGATAGATAATTTTTTCTTATTCTTTTTAATTTAGCTGAACTGATTTTTCCCCATATCATAACTTGGTCTGAAGTACTTTATTTTCCAACATGTCACAAAGAATAGAAGAAACAGGGGGGAAAATGTTTAGCTGGGTTTCAGGACAAAGAAAATGATCCTTCCTCTACTTCCCAGTCCCTCTGCAGACGTGCTAATAGTGCACCTCC